ACTTTGAGTTGTCTACAGATTGAATATTGAGAAATGATTTTCTAGGAGTTTGATTTTCAAGAGATCCTATTCTTACTCATTCTGATATCTTCTCACGCATTTTGTTACATACAATTACTAATTAGAAACTCTTTCAGCTATCATCAAGGAAAAAGCCAAAAGCAAATCGTCTTAAAATTGATGTTCGTCATCAATTTTCTTTCAATGATCTTTTCCCCACCATAATCAACTGTTCTCACTTTTGTCATTGGGACCATCATGAGTCGAATGTGAGATTCACCATTTCTACAAGATCAACTGGCTGTTTTATCACATAAGAAAATTAATGTTGCAGTCATGAACTCTTCTTTTTTGCCTGTTCGTGATATTGTGTTTTACTAGTGTTTTTCCTTGTGTTTGTATCTGAACCTTTGACGATGGACGCTTTTCTCACGTCCTTAATGATCATCCTTAATGAATGAAATTCGATAACAATTTAGGCTTTTTTCGATTTTATTACAGAGGAATGCCCAGGGTCGGGCGATAGCTGTATATAAGCTTGTCAATCACTAATAAGTGTTTTTCGTATTGATTTAACGCAATTAATCAGTTCTTGGTGTCAACATTATTGCAACATCCGTCGCACTAATAAGTTGCATACATATGTGTGTGTGTTATGTATTATTTTATCCAAATGTTACTCAGTAACAGCCGTTTAATCTAAATAATTTTGACCATATTGATCTTAATCTCATAATATCATTGTCTTTGAGTTCATTTGTGCAGTTAGGTAATGATAATAATGATGAAATTGAATAATAAAACTGGAGTGCATTTGGAATGCATTCTCTACGGGTGAGTCGACGATATATGTCTTTTTTTACTGTAAACAATATAAATTCGAAAATAATTCTGATCTCTTTATGAATAACAACTATGGCTGATTCGGTACACTTCCGATATTTGCACCAAAAGAGTTGTCAATTTGGACACAGAAACAATTAAACTCGAAGAAATTTTTTTTCTGGTATAAATATTAAGCGTACAGCGGCTGATGCAGTATTTAATGCTGATTACAAAAATCAACTTCAGATCGAAGTTGAAAATGTTAAAAAAATCGAAATTATAATTGAATTTCATCACGTTTTTATTAAAAATTTCTTGACCTACTCATTTTTTTAAAAATTCTTAAAACTACTCCTACAAAGGAGGGCCGTTTTTGGCTGTGCGTTGCCGACATCTATTTTCACAAAACGACACGAATAACTCAATAAATAGGACTCAAATTTTTACTTATCAGAGAACTTGTTGAGCTATATATTTGCCGAAAATCTGAAGTCTTTACCGTCTATATTATAAATATGAAATAAATCCAGCCGTCCTAAAAACAAATTATTCTGAGACAGTTTTGTTTAGAAAAAGAGATATTTTGCTTAATAGATACGTGCGACCATATATATGGCACGATGAGTGGATCAGCTACTGCTATCTAGATATGTATGAAACCTGTTTAGACATTGTTTGATAACATTCATGCCATTTTCCGCTGACAATATTGAAAAAGTTGTTGTCTAATAATGCTTATTAATGCATATGTTAGCAGTCAGCCTGTGTGCCTTTCTTATATTTCCTCTAGCCTACCTGGACATTGGTTAAGGTACATTACGAGCAAAATTTAGTATCACCATAATGTTCGCTGTTAGTGTATCGGTTCTCTGATTAGTTGTGTTTTGACCCGATATATTTTTAGAAGAGTGAGATAAAGAGTGAACATCCCTAACTGTGTCTCTAGGATTCCGTCGAAATATATGTTACTATACAGATTTTAATCTAGATGTGCGTTTCACTAAGTGACATTCTTTTTTCATCCTGTATCTTAGAAAAGAAAAACAGTAATAAATTTCTGATATAGGAACTTTATAAATGAATAAATTAAAATTACTTTCGTTCTATGTATAACATTTTGCAGTAACGTTTATTCTCTTTGAAAAAAGTTTCAAATACCTTTACCCTGTTCAATTCTTTATAACTCGACCTAGAATATTCGAGAAAACAATAACATAAAAATCAACACTTTCCATTCAGCACTAAAAATTGTAATTTGTTCACACAAAAATGGAGAACCGTTCTTTTTAGAGAATGCAACATAGATGTTGTATACATCAAAATGAAAAGGTTTTTGGAAAAAAGAAGGGTAGAGGAAAAGAGAAAAGAGCGTACCCTTAAGCTTTGTTAAAATGAGTATAATTTCCACTACATAACTAATTTTTCTACTAAATATCTTAGAAATTATATTACTTTAGTTCGAAAAAACTCCTTTTCTATTTCTGAATGATATTTTCAAAAATTGATTACTGAAGATTACTTGAAGATTATGGAGTCCACCATTAACTGTCTATTCTAATGATCATCATTTAATGTTCGAGCTATCAAGTATTATCAATTTTTGAAAATATCATTTAGAAATAGAAAAGGAGTTTTTTCGAACTAAGGTAATATAATTTCTAAGATATTTAGTAAAAAAATTAGTTATGCAGAGGAAATTACACTCATTTTAACAAAGCTTAAGGGTACGCTCTTTTCTCTTTTCCTCTATCCCTCTCTTTTGAAAAAACCTTTGCATTTTCAGCTAAACATAGATCAAGACAAATATTTTTCTATTTTCAGTGTGTCGTTGTTCGGCAACTCAGCACTCTTCAGTATTATGAATAGTGCACAAACGACAAAACTGTTATCAGAGATTCAAATAGCAGCAAGTTTTGTAGAGAATTCAATTCTCTATCGATTGAGCTTAGAACCAACTCTGTGGACTGCCGGACAATGCCTCATGAACAACGAATGAAAGTGTCCGATTTTATCTGAGCTACCCGATACAATATATTTTAAACGGAAGTATTAATCATCTACAAAATAAACTGAACATTTTTTAATAAGATTTCGTGAACTCAAAAACGATTTGTATGAATTGATTGAAATAGAACACGGAAAAATAGAATTTTGAGCGATACAAATACAAAAAGAAAATACATTCGTGTTACAGATTACAAATGAAACGAGCAAACAGCAGCATCATCAATAATTTTGTGACCTAATATTTATAAAAGTGCAAGAAATAAATACATATACATTCATAAGTATGTCCAAAATTTGTGAGCGTGTGTTCTGCTCGATTTCTAATAGACACTATACCTAGGTATGCACCAGTTACGGACCAGTTATTTTCAACAGTTTTTCGGGGCATCCGAGAAAGTTGTTATAACGCGGGTATTAAGAATCGGTTAGACATGCGAAACGCCTCATTTTGTAGACAAATTTTTGGTCTATGTATTTGTATGAAAGATAAAATTAAAGCTTGAAAGAGAGAAACATTTTTAACGAATTACTGAAGAGACACGAACAGTTATGTAACTGGTGACCGGTTATCACGTACAGTTATGGCATTTAAAAATGCTCATATTTTTGTCAATATTAACTTTAAACTTGTTTTGTTTCAACAAATGCATAGAACAAACATTTGTGTACAAACGAGACGTTCCGCAAGTATGAGCGATTCTTATAACCGCGTTATAATAATTTTCCTGGATGTCCTAACGCCAGTTATATAACTGGTGCATGCCTAACTATACCATTGTTCTCTGTATTCAAGGAAAATACATACAAATTTTGCTGCAACTAGTTCCTTTTTATCCAATGAATGTAAACGTGACTTCAAACTTCGAAATAAAAAATTTGTTGGATGAGTTCAAGTTAAGTTCCGTCACAAAAATATTGATAACGGTATTCATTGAATACAAATAAAAAACATACAAATTATTTTATGTTATAACTACCGCCAAAAATGCAAAATTTTACTAAAAAATAACAACAAAAAAAGCATATATTTAAAAATAATATAACAATGATAACACACCGGATAAAGCGAGAAAATATGTATCTATATACAAAAAAAATAACGATAACTTTTGCTAAACTCTAAATTAATATTCGAAGATAATATCAATCAGTTTGTTTTATTATCGAAATTTAAAAAGAATGCCTTCCGGTAAACTGCTTAAAACTTTTCAACGTAAAGAGCTAGAGACGTGTAGTTGTCAGATTCTGAAACTAGACACTCTGGGACGTAAACCTATGAAAAAATCAGGGCGGCCGATCAGGTTTACCATGGTGTACCATTCGAGACAATATCCCGAAACCTTACCGTTTCCAAATCACACCATGACATCCAGTCTCAAATAATAGCAGTCGATAGTCAAAATATTTTTCTTCAAAAATCGTATGCATAAACTGGAAATCTTATGTAAGTTTTTTGACTCGATCTACATTCTATGATCTCTGGTAATCATTCCCTGAAAATCTGAGTCTTTTGGACGAGAAATGAGTGAAATATACGGCTTTTAATTTTAGATAGTGACAGGCGAAATACAGGCTTTTCATCAAATTTATATTTCTGAGATTCCCAGATGTGTCTGCAACGAGATGTGTCGTCGGAAAACGTTTATATCTCCGGAATCAAAGGAGATGAAGACCTGCGTAGTTTTGAAGAGAAATGTTTCGGCTATTGACTGCTATCATTTGAGATTGGATGTCATAGTGTGGTTTTGCCGGAACGCATTCTTTTTAAATTTCGATAATAGTTGATAACAATCAAAAATATTTAATAGTGTGGAAATATCTCTTACAGCTATGATGATGCCATGTATAAAATATCACTGTCGAATATGAAAATCTAAAAAATAATTGCGTAAAGCGAACTGTTTTGTATTCACTGGTTTTTTGGACGAAAATGAGAAACAACTGTAGTGAAAACATATCTATACACAACATAAAAAAATAAACACACCTGTTATGGATAAGGGGCAACAAAAACAACAAAAAAAATCATAGTTGAAGTGTCCATTGAATTCTAAGATGATGCCGTTGGGTTTGTGTGTATGTGCTGTAAGTTAGTATTTGTACGACTACCGGTGAACGTTTTAAATGAGATCATGTATATTCATGTGAAACATAGAGTGGATGATTTATTATGACTCGCGTGTAGATGATTTTGTCGATCTTCCTGTCGGTGAACAGTGGTGTGGATAGTAAATACCATCAGAAGAAGAATATTGAGTTTCAGCTATATAATCTGATCGTTGAGATGATGGTCTATAGGGTAAACTATGATGATCGACTGTGGAAGTTGACAAAGATAAAGGATAATGGTGTGCAGTTGGTTGAGTTAATTGGAATTGAAACTGATCATTCTGTTGCTTTTGTTGATTTGACACATTTGACGGTTGATTAAGTTTTCTCAAGATTTTCAATATAAGATCACGTTTATAAGGATCATTGATACAGTTTAATAGTTGCACTTTTTCTTCTTCGTTGTCTCTTCGGTAATAAAGAGCTGGATTATAATGAGCGGGTAATTGAGATTTATGATAATGGACAGCTTTATTATGATGATTATTTGCTAAGATGAAAATGAACAATCTCACATTGTAATTCAGCACAGATTAGAGCTAATATTTCGATAACAAATACGTAATTAAGATAATCATACAGAAAAAATGTTAAATAAAAGATGAGTGCTTATCGTTAATGGTATATAATTTATAGATCAAAGATATTATTATGAATGATCAAGTATAAATAATGAGAAATATATTGCTTTTGATTTTATCAATTCTGCTTACCAGTCCAAATTGGTAGTACATTTTTTACGAAGGCTCTTGTGTAAATTTAGCTTTCGTTTTGCATATGCTAAGGGATACAGGGAATAGAGATGGGCTCGAGTACTGTTTTCCATCCCGACTCGGAAATTCTTTTCATCCGTATCCGACTTATGCCTAAAAATTTTCTCCTTTTCGGTTTTCAGCTAACTCTTTTGAAACTTAATGTATTCAAGCTAAAATCTTGTATTTTTTCACTAAAATGTTGCGGTTTTCTACTAAAACCTTCCGGGTTTCTGGTAAATCTAAAAGAAAACGGACAACTACGCGCATCCGACAACTTCGTACCCGTACCCAACCTTCGGGTTGGATCGCGTTACACATTTCTAATATGGAAGATCTATAAATAACAGAAAAACGTCGACAAACCTGGTGGGAATAAATTTTGTTCATGATGTTGTTGTGGTGAATTCGGCGATGAAAGACGTGCTGTTAGATAATGATAATGTTGTTGTTGTCTTTGTTGATGATGATGATGATGATGTGAAGATTGCATAGACTCACTCATATACTGTACTGCATAAAAATTTTGAGTATTTAACATGTCTTTATTGTAACATCCTGCAGTTGCTGTTACAGGTGGAATAACATTCACACTTGAAATATCGTCATTGATCATTTTGATCGAAAACTTATCATTAAATTGATTCGCTTTATGCAACGGAGGATATTTTCGAAGTGATCGCGAACTGCAAAAAAGTATAGTATGAATAAATGACCCGTAATGCTGTATAAAAGTTTACTTTGAATCTTGTTGATTAACCGAAACACATGAAACGTTAGTTTGATCTTTTGGTAGAAAATGTGACGTATTTGCCTTTTGATAATAACTATCGGACAACACATCACTAGAATTCATAGAATTACTCCTAGGAATTGCTGATCCATTTGGAGATAAAACTGGTACTTGATGATCATTAATTTTCATTAGATTTGTTAATTGTTGTCTTTGGCCACCTGTTATTCTACTTACATCTTGAGAAAATGATGACTGTAGCGATGATTCTTGTTTACGATTCACATCCATAGAATTACCAGATGAAATAACGACGTTCGTTGTTGGTGAACTGTTATCGCTATCACTTCCACAAATAGATGTATCATATTCTAAAGATGTTGTCTGTGATAAACTATATTTATAATCTAATGTGTCTTTCTTTTTCCAGATATTTCGTAAATTTGTTGCCTTGTCGTCCTCAGTTATAATCTTTTGAGATTGCTTTTGTTGTGGTGTAGAATCTAAATCATTTTTGTTTCTAGAACTTTTTGAATTATTATTTTTTTCAATTTCATCATAAATACTGTATGTTTTATCTAATTCCATCATGCTATCGTCGTTTTCGTCGCGTTTTTCTTGAACGGTACGATCTTTGTTAGTGGTAGTGTCACTACTACCGGCTTGTGCACATTTTGAATTTTCTAAACAAACACGTTAAATGAGTCTGTGTCATCTAGAAGAACTCCCTCTGTCACTGCAAATAAACCTAGTATCAACAATACTGTTAGATCTGTCTCTCTGATTGTCTAATCCAGACATATCTCCTCAAACAAAAAAGCACAATTCCGACGGGTAAGTAGAAGAAACAACAGAAAAAACTAGAATTATTTTTACTACATCCGTACCTTTAATCTTTATCTATTTCTTTTATGAATTTTCTCTTACGAGGGAACTGTTCCAACTGCCTCGCGAGTTACGACTCCGTATTATCAGTAGAAGTAGATCTCAAAGAGACTAAGAAAAGTCTAAAATGGTTCGTGCCAATGACCTTTCGTTTTCGAGATATGATCGACTTTATGTCGAAAAATACGATTTTTTCACTTTTTTAATAATTATTTTCTCGATCATTATAACAAGTTGGGTGATGAACTTTTTTAACTCATAGAACTCGAGATATTTGTTATTTTTCATTGTCATCCCTTGTAAGACTGCATGTGTGTAGTAAAGAAAATGTACAGAACGCGTACAGAACGCCTTGGTCAAATATAATAAATATCTTGAGCTAACGATTGAGTTAAAATTTTTGGAGGAAGTAAACCACTAGTCAGGCTATTGAGAATAAAAGTTACATCACCTAACTTCTTATGATGATCGAGAAAAAAGCTATTGAAAAAGTGAAAATAATTGTACATAAAGTCGATTATATCTCGAAAATGAAAGGTCAGTGGCACGAACCATTTTAGGCTTTTCTTAGTCTCATTGAGATCTACTTCTGCTGATAATACAGAGTCGTGACTCGCGAAGCAGTTGGGACGGTTCCCTCGTTAATCAAAATTTACATATATATATATATGTACAGTAGTGTAATTTTACGTCCAAAGTTTAAGTGTATATTTCTCTTGGAAATGACTCTAAGAAGAGATCGAAACGTAGAGTATTTTGTCTAATAAAGAATAAATAGATTTTCAATCACCAACTACGATTGCTTGTCTCAAATTTTGTTTATTTGAACTATTGACTCTAACCTCATTTAATTATATCACATCTCTTTTGAACTAAACGAATCACTTATTTTACCTGTTGTAGTTTGAGATTGTTCTTTTGCCGTTTTAACTATACTTGGTATGGTATTTACATTAATTTCCTGTACCAAAGGATTAACATTACTTATTGCCATAGATTTTCGTATAACTTCACTATGCTGTAGTCCCAATGTTCTAATATCAATTATTTTTAATAATAGTTTTGGATATATTTGATCTGTTTGTTCGATACCATATCGCCAATTCATATATTTTCTCAATAAACATGAGTATTTAATTTGTAATTGATTCACAAGTTTAATATCATTCAAATTTGATCGATCAGGTGAGAAAATAATAATTGGTATTAATAAAATTGTTGATACTTCATCCGTATATAAATTACACATACTAATTAAATATGTTTTTGTTGTTTCGAACAATTCCGTGCCCCAAAGTTTAATTAATATTGGATCAAAATTTAATTTTGAATTATCAACGGCAGCTTGTTGATCACGAGATAAATAATTAGTAAATTTTTGAGTGATGGGATCAAACAGTGTATTTGATGAACAAACAATTATTTCCATTGCGCTTCCTTTCAGCAATTTAACCTTATCGTCTTCAGAGAATAAATTAAAATCTTTTAACATCCGTGCAAATAAGACTAATCGTTGTATCGGAACCGTCAAGAAATTAGCAGCTGGATTCGGTGGCGTAGATGTTGTTGTTGTTGTGGTGGTGGTGGTGGCGGTGGTGCGGGCTGAGGATGGTGTGGATATACTACCGGATAGATCTGATTGACTAGGAAATTCTAACGGATATGTTCTAGAATAAAAAAGATATCAAATAAAACACATGTACTTCTAGCATCTATTCATATAGTAAATAATTGGTATGTACTTACGCTCGTGCTTGATAGAATGCATGCGCCATATCTTCAATTAAAAGTTTTTCTTCTTTTCTTACATATTTATGAATATCTGGATCTTCATTGATCTGACAGTCTTTACGAATACGTTTACGACGTGAACCATATTTCTCTTCTCGCTCTTCGTCACTTAATACCCATTTCTACAATAATAATAAAACTAAAAAATGTTAAAATACAAATTTTATACTAAACAACACATACCGATTTCATTCCAATAGAAACACATTTTATATAACGACAATATTGACAAACTTTTCGTGTAACGAGATTCACAACACATGTTTCTAGAAAAGAAAAATTGAATGAACAATTTTTTTTCTCAATGATCATAATTTGTTTTAAGCTTAAAATACAAACTATTGATTATTAGATTTGATAATCAATTCAAGCACAAAGTATGGTATAAAATAAATTATATGAAAAAATAGCTTTCCAGAAAATAGTTCTTCACTCTGAGATCAACAAAATACAATTTCTTCTCACTAACATTTATATTAATTTTGGAGAATTCAGACATCTTTCGAAAATAAAATATAGCGTTTCAATATAGTATTTATTCGAGAAGCTGAAAGTTTTGGATATCAAGAAAAGAAGATAGAATCACTCAAGATGGTACCATCACTTCTTTACTGAACGATAACTAAACGGAAGAAATATCATAAATTTTCTGAAAATTAATTTCTAGATTTAATAAGAATTGTTTGTAAAAGAATATCATGAACATTTCTCTTCTACAAGTATAATATTGCTTCTCTGTAAAGAGCACCACTTTGACATAAGAGAAAAAGTGATTTTGTCTTAGATTCTCTATTTGATACTTTTTATGACGACCATAAGTTTGCGTACATGTAGCATTTTCATGCAATTAAAAAGTATATTTTTTACACGATAAGAAATAAAATATTGAGTATTAAAAATAATAACCGTTCATAAGGATAATCTCACATCTCATGAAATTTTTTTTATAAGGGTAGAATAAAAGTCTCGTTAACGTGCATGTTTGTAAATATTTTTGTTGATATTCGATGTGTAAGGTGCTGATATTTTTCCCGAGTATATTGAAAAAATATAAAATTTTTTAACTGAAAAATGAGCACCTTCCATGCTGGCACAGAAGACAGAAAAAGGAAGTCAGGAGCATTTCTTGTTAGAAGCATGAAATTCATTTTTTTGTCAGAGGGTTTGGCTCCCTATTGCTGAAAAACGTTTGTTCTTTTAAAAACATATATTAAAAAAAATATACCATCAAAGTTTCGGAAAGTTACTCTTGCCCACTTGCTTAACTGCAAAAATGTTTTTTTTTGTAAAGTTGTTGAGTTGTATTTTATTCAATGAAGTTTGATGCGCTGATCATAAATATCATATTTTTACTGCAAAATATTTCCTGAGTAAAATTATATTTTATATATATCGAAGTGCTGGAAAGGTTGCGTTATTTTGCGGTCATACCAAATATCTAATTTGGGAAACTTTACCAAATGATGAAACAAAATTTGAAAAATATCCTCTGGATAACTTTAAAATAATATTTCACTGTTTACTACTATTTTTATACCACATCTAATATACGTTTCGATTGGTGTGTGTATGAATAAATTGTTACGAATGCATTATCACATACAATAATTTAAAATTTATTTTAGTACTGTCATAGAAAACCAACGCTTCCACTACAAGTGTTCAGTTATTATCTAATATAGAACCCTAGATATCATTTTGAATATCATTACTACTGCGTTCTCCACAGTCACTCGCTTCAATTATTTAAGGCGCACGACTGATTCTCCTTAATAGTAAGAGAATTTAATATGCTGAAATATAGCATATTAAATGGAAAAAACGTTTTTAACCCTTACCTCCACATGAGCATTTATAACTAGTATAACGTGTGCATTGAACAGAACGACGGAAAAAAGCTTTGCAAGATTCACACGAGTTTCCACCAAAATGTGTTCCTGAAACATAAATAAAATAGTTAGAAAATACTTTTTAATTTTCTTTTTCGTTTGACATGTTTTACCTGTACTCATATCTCCACAAACACTACATAGTCGGTCTGATGTTGTTGTCGATGATTGCGATTGAAAAATTACTTTGGATGAAGAATTAGTCGCATGCATTGCTGATTCTAGATGGTTAAATATACGTTGTTCTTTTGCACGTGCTATAATTTGATGATCATTATCGTTATCGATATATGAATAAAGTTTATGTGAATACTGGTCGGAAGAAAAAGGACTTGGTGCTTAATCGATGTTTAACTTTTGTTGTTGTTCTTTATTCTTACGATCTAATAACCATTGTTGTCCAATCTGATTATAATTGATCGAAAATGATTTTCCACCACGTGAGGACGCTGAATTAATTTACGTTTTAATATGTGATCAGGAAATAAGTTGAAAATAATTAATAATTTAATAAAAAATATTTAGTAGTGATAATCTGTAACAATACATTTTTGATTAATTAATTAATTATATTAAAAGTACTGACAATGGAGTTAATTAAAAATAGAAAAGATGTACCCAAGTGTCAAAAAAAATCTAGTATTGCCTAATTCATCTAGATTATTAGATTTTTACTCGATTGCAATTATTTGCTAAGGGCAGTGGAAATCTAGTAATCGGACGATTGCCAGATTTCTTCTAGTTGCAACTATCGATTTATCGCCCGATAATCGACTGATTTAACTAATGCTAGTTACACATGTAGACGCATCTCGTTAAAAGTCCCTTTTTCCAGCTAATAATCTAGATGTCAACTACTCGTGTATGTATCGCCCGATTACAGACGCAATGTATCTAGATTTTTCCCACAGGTGATGTTTGCTTGGGTATGATTTCAGAAAAACAACAAAAATGTGTACCTCCGAAACGCTGCTCTCCTTCTCATTTACTTTTCATACTTTTACGTCTATATATAATTAATGAAGTGGTACATTAACAAGGAACAATACTATAAACCATTACAAAAAGTTGTTTTATTTAATAGTAAAGACACGAACATCCCTAAATTAAAATCTGAGTTGGCCAATCGATAGAGCAATTTTTAAGTGTGAAATGCGTGTAACACTGAAGTTATTTTTGGAAAATCGATTACTCAGGGTAGAAATAGTATAAAAAGTGGAAAATCGTTTCATTTTGTAGAGTTCTGAATGCTAGATATTTCCGGCATGCCAAAACTTGGTGATGCTAACTTTGGGTTTTTCAGGGTTTTTTTGGAAAACCCGGGTTTTCCGAAAAGGTACTCCTTAATATTGCGAAAAATTTTGGTTACATTTGCGGAATCAGCGTCAAAAACTGGTCTAGATCCACTAGGTTTTAGATTTTTAATTCTGCGCCGCAGAGGTCTTATTGATGAAGCTTTGGAAAACAGGAAAACCTTTGCCGAATCCAGAAAACAAGGTTTACAAGGCTAAAAATTTTGGAGTAGATTGAGTGCTTTACCCATACTAATCACTGATAGTTTCAGCTCTTTGCTGCCTCTGGTTTCGGAGAAAATCGCCTTTTATCAAAAAATCTCGTTATGGGGGGGGTTATACTTACAGATCTATACCTTGGTCATGAAAGGTTTTCCGGAGCTGAAATTTTTACCATAGTCTAGTGTCAGACTAGGCCACGTGTGGTAAAAATTACAGCCGAATCGGTTGATGTCGGTATAACCATCTGTCTGAACTACTCAGACAATGGCTCTTAAGCATACATTTTCAATGAATACTCACGAACACATACGAACATCTGAGGAAAAAGTCGTTATAGTCTAAGTATTTTTTAATCTTTTCAAAAAAATTTAGACTTTATCATATTTCTAGGTCAAAACAAAAAATATTGGAACATCTGATAGCTATACGTCGATTATATTAATAACTATGAGTGTCTATAGAAAGATGTATTTAATAATACTTCTTAAGAAAGACTCAAAAATTAGGAAAAAGTTATTTAGTTCTGAGTACAATAATTATTTACGATAGAACTTTTGTAGAAAATAACTTCCGTAAGCCGTTTTAATTTCAGTTTAACAATCTTAATTAAAATAGAAAAGATGTATGATTTCAGAAAAACAAAAAAAATTTGTGCCATTCATTTACTTTTCATACTTTTACGTCTATATATAATTAATTAAATGGTACGTTAACAAGGAATAACTAGAAATGTTATATACCATTACAGAAAAGCTGTTTTCTTTCAAAGAAAAGACACGAATACCCATGAACACTCCTAAATTAAAATCTGAGTTAGCCAATCGATAGAGCTCATCGAGCTGAGTATAGCAACGCCTAACGAACATCCAAAAAAGGTTTTATAGTTTCGCGTTTTAAGCATATATTTTCAATGAACGTCCACGAACACCCAAAAAAGTGTGCAAAATTCATTTTCAGATTGTTCTGAGCCTACTGATACCATTTTCAACCCGAGCAAAATATTTTCAAGGATTCTTGAAAAAATTTACCCTTTCGGATATTACAAAATTACAATTAAACGCCTTTTTTGGATTTCACAGTAAAGACATCTAGGCATATTAAATATCATAAGAAAGTCCGTGAACTTCTCTACAAAAGTACTATTTAGGAATTATTTAAAAGTTCTTTGTTCAATTTTTTTTTTGTTGTTTTTTTTCAATTGTGCCGTTGATCGTACTTTTCGTACCCATGCAATTTTTTTCTCCAAACCTGATTTCAGAAGCCTAAACTGCAGCTTTGTTCCAGATTATTATTGTTTCTTATCTAAGTAGTGTCTGATAGAAAAACTTATACAAAATAGATCACAAAGATCACGCTACTACGGTTCTGTTATTGTGGTGTATTCGCCATCTATTTTTCGCAAACGTAAGTTTTTTTGTTGTACTTCCTTTTTTGATTGTGCCATTTTTCAGTTTAAACTAGCCTCAATATCAATACCGTAACCTACAACCGAAACTATATATAGGTTAGGTAATCGACAGGCTTAATCGACGGGACTCTAATGCAGCATGAGTGAGTGATTTGCGAATATTCATTGATTTCTTTAAACAAGACGTGTTGAATGCTTTAATAAAAAATGTCATACTGGAAAGTTATACGAATAATACTGATAAATTCCCCAATGAATATGTGAAAATCTAACTAACTATTTCATAACCCTTGAGAAACTCCATCTTTTATCTGTAATTAAAATTTTTTCTAGTGCAACTACTTACATTTTTTTTATCCTCTAGTGGTTTATAATAACATTATTTTTTCAGTCAGCAATTTCTCACTATTGTGTGAAATGTACATGCATGTAATAAAAGTCTTTAGATTCGCGTTTTGAAGAGAAACCAATACGTTGATTATATCCAAACGCGAAGAAGTTCACCAATTTTCATTTCAATATACAAATGTGAAATAGGAGGACTAAAACTTCGTTGTTCTTTAGAAAATTTTCAATAAAGTTACTCTTTATGTCGTAAAACTAGGTTGAAAAGAAATTTGTTATATACAAACTGGAAAGAGTAATTTGAATTCTTTAAAAGAAGAAAACCTTGAGAGTTTATCTACTGTAGAATTTATCAGTATTGTTCGAGTAATTTTCCACTTTTACATTTTTTATTAAAACATTTAACACGTCTTCTTTAACGAAAAGAATGACAAATATTTTCAAAAACATTTAAATTTTATCATATTTCTCGACTAAAATATATGCAAAACAAAAATATTATAAACATTTTAGAATCCCCGGTACAATAGTCACTAGGTAAAATTCAGATTCTTTCTCTTACAACTCAAATCGATTTTTTTGTAAAAGTAGGTAAAAAGCTATAAATAGATTTTTAAATATTATTTTTCTAGAGTACTCGATGAACGATTTCTTTTGTAGGTATTAGCTGCTGTTTTTTCCTACCGTCAATTCGTCTATTTTTATTGTACTAGATGGGACTACCAAAAATAATCTTTTTCATATCGGATAACCTGTCCAATTTTCCTGTTTATCAGATGATATGTATGTCTACTTTTAACGCTCGTTCTAAATTTTTTCAACCGTGAATACAAATAATATTATGTAATATACGTTTAGAAATGAGTGACATGCACAGGTAATTAGATGGAACACAAAGCGGGTATTGCGAGAGAGTAACAAGCATTATTATATAACGATCGATTGCATTTAAAATTATAAAACATAACTGATCCTCTTTATTCATAGGTGATTGTTTTCATTCGTTTTTAGACAAAAATCAGTCGTTTTTTTCGTTAGAACTATAAGACGCGCCCTCCCTCCTCCCCCCCCCCATCAGAAACAATTTTGTTTATAAAAAGTCGATATTGAGCTAAGCTCACCATCATTTAGCCCACAGGATCTACTATTAGATCCACTGTTATTTGGCACTCATCGAAGAGGTATGGAAACTTTTGGAAAAGTTTTCTGAAAACCTGGCTTGTCGAAAACGTTTTAGTTTCCGATGAAAAAGCAAATCGAAATTATTTTTAGTATATAGGAAAATAGAGCAAACATTTCTGATCAAAATGAGATATTTCCCAGCTCTGAGTGATGTTCTAATCAAGAGTTATGAGAGTTATGCTGGAAGCTCTAAAACATGCATCAGATACTGGGGCCACCATATCTCGACCGCGACTTTCACCTTAACACCATTTAATAGTTCCCAGATTTCTCCGCAATGAACCATCGCAGAGAGCACTGGAAGGTCTTAAATTGAAGCTGACACATGTGGCTAGAGGCTGACAGAGCCCAATTTTTGATATTCGGTCCACATTTATGATTACAAAACATCTTTACCAAAATTAATGAGGCTTTTTCGAATTTTGGACTTTTGACGCTGACCATTAATTTGAAAACTAAAATATCAAAAATACGGCTCTGTCAGGCTCTAGCCCTATGTGTTTTCGTCAACTTAAGACCAGCCCGAGCTCTCCACAACGTTTCGTTACTGAAAAATCTGGGAGCTACGAATAGCCCCATTTTGGTCACTGTTGTGGCGATATCTCACAAACCATGCGTGATGGAGCCAAAAAAGAAATTTCGTCACCATACTTTCACAAGATCAGCATCTCCTAAAACTTTAGTCAAGATCGGACTTATAATTTCAGAGGCAGGTTTCTGACGGGGGGCTTAAGATACGATACAATAACAACACTTAATAAGTA